CAGCCCCATCTCTGAATTTTATTCCACTTTGGAGACATGATTCAATGGGTATTATCCTATGTTTTTGAAATAGTTGCTTCCAGGAAGTTTCCTCATGTTTTGTACTATGTATTTCCCCCTTCCCCTCTCCCTATATAATCAGGCCCTATGGCCATTGTAAACATAACCTTTGAATATTAAAATCTTTTACTCTTTGAGTATTATTAAAATAGTGTGATGCTATTTTAGCCAAATTCCTAATTCTATATCTTAAGAGTGGTTATCTTAAGTGTGAGTTTTAGGTTCTAGATATTTGATTAAGTGTGTCATATCTTAATTAAATTCTAGATTCAAACCCCAAGTTAAGATAAGGGTGTGTAATATCTCTTAACACCAACTTGGTTTTATCCATCATTATTTTCTATCCATTTCTTTCCCCACCATTTCTATCCTTAATCCCCTTTTCTTTCCTCATATTAAAAATACCAAAAGAACTCCTTCATCATCTCCATATCTTTCCAAGCCATTTCCCCACAAAACACACTTCTTCCTGCCCAGAATTCTGCCCAATAATCGATTATCTTGATTGACAATCGATTATCCGTCGTCGTTAAAAAAACATGCAGCCTTCAACAATCGATTGTCCCCTTTGACAATCGATTATTCGTACTACTTTGAAACATCTGCAGCCTGAAACAATCGATTATCATAATACTGATAATCGACTATCAATCCCTCCCAAAAATCCAAGAAACTGAACCAGAAAATAATTGATTATCTTACTTAGACAATCGATTATCAACCCATCCTGCAAAAGAAGGAGCTTGTTCCTTAAATCCGAGCTTAATACCGACAAACCCTGAGCTGAGATATAACATCTGGTATCAAAGCTTGTTGTTCCACATCCCTCAAGGGGCCAAAACACCATCTCCTACATTCTCTCTTTTGAAACATTTCTCACATCATCTAAGAAATGTCTCAATATGATGTAGTTGCTGCCCAAGAAAAGTTAAAGAAGGAAGTTGAGCTTATGATGAAACAAGTCAAGGAGCTCACTAATTCAGTGGAGATTCCCACGTTTGAAGGAAGAAATGACCCGGAGAAGTTCTCAAAGTGGTTAGCAAAAGTTGAAGACGTCTTTACACTCAAAGACGTGCCCGAAGACAAGAAGGTCAAGCTAGTGGTGACAAAGTTTCAAAGACATGCCTCTACTTGGTGGGCTAGCGTTGCTTCAAAACGAAAGCTCCAAGGAAAAGCGAAGGTGAGAACTTGGGAAAAGTTAAGAAAACTCTTAATTGAGAGATTTTCTTCCAAAGATCATCTCCACCAGGTACTTAAACATACTCTCCCTTTTTCACCCAATACTCTTTCTACACTCATCCCACCTTCCCCACAACAAAAGCCGTTCCATATTGCCCTCTCTCCCACAACCTTAACCTCCTCTAAATCCCGATCCTCACAGAACTCTCATGCAACCCAAATCATTCCCGAAGCCCCCACCATCTTCAACACTCAAACTCCCTCTAAAGTTCCCTCTTTACCTTGCATCCATGCTGTCCAAAACATCTCTAACCCAAATCCCTCACACCTACCCAAAATTCCTACTCAAACAACCTCTTTACCTTCCCTAGCCACTGCCCAAAGTAACTCAACACCCCTTACCACAACCCTGCCCCAAAATACCTCAAAACCCATTTATATTTCATCCCTGGCCACTATCCAAACAAGCCCCAAAACCCTCTTCATACCCCTGCCTCCAAACTTGCCTATAACCATGCCTATAATTCCCCCTCAAACGGCCCTAACCATTCCCACACCTACCCCTACACCCCCACTTGAAAAACCAACTGAAACCATCCCTTTACCCTCCCAAAACACCCTCAAAGCCTCTCCCATCCCCACAGTTCAGAACCCTGTTAAAACCATAGGCCCTCCACCCAAAGCCATGGTCATACCTCCACTAAAAATCTGCCCATCTATTCCAAAGAAACCCCATTGCTTCCACTCACAAAAGATTGGTCATCATGCTTTTGAGTGTCCAAGTAAAAATCAGAAGTCCTTAGTCCAAAGTGAAGAGAAATCAGAGCTTTTGGGACGAAAGGAAGGACAGGATGTTGTTAAATCTCTAGGCCAAGATAAAGGTGAACTTGTGGTCATTATAAGACCATTGCGTAGTTTGACTGATCAAAATAAACTTGGAATCAAACCCCTCTTGAAATCCTGTTCCATTGAATGGCTCAACCACGAAAGAGAACTACGAGTGGAATTGCGTAGTTTTTCTTTATTTCATATTGACAGGACATGGACACCTAATTTTGTGGATATGCATTCATTGAGAAAAGGTTCACCGGCATGCTTATTCCTACCCCTGACCGCACCTAACCAAGGGATAGAACCCCGGGTTCATCTAAGTTTAGGTGAAAACAAACCCAATGGCGGTTTAGAGAAGAAGGATGTTGTTACCACCAGAGATGAGTTCTTAAGCTGTGGATTTCCTAGCTTAAATATGCAAGTTAATGAGAAGAAGGTTCAACATGGAGCTATGAGCCCAGATGTGGAAGCCTCACCTCAAAGGCTATCTTCACTAACGGCACCTCGTGCCAAATTTGTTAAGTTTTTGCAGGTTCTATGTGAAGAAGAAACTTCCGAGTTTTATCATAAGACTCGTAAAAAGCTTATGAAGAGAGAGTTAAAAAGTTCCATCCACTATCAGCCTGGAGACCTAGTGTGGGTCCATGTGCAAAGAGAGCGTTTCTCTGGAAAACGCAAGGCAAAGCTTCAACCTCGAGATGATGGTCCATTTGAAGTGGTAGCCAAGGTCACTAACAATGCCTACATGGTTGCCCTTAGTAAAAGTGATGGAGTTTCTGCCACGTTCCGTAAGAGAGACCTCAGTCCATATGACGGTCTCGATTATCCGTTGAGTTTGAGGGCAAACTCTTTTGAAGACCGAGAGGATGTTATATCCGGGCTTGGCCCTATCATACCCTCCCCCATGTTCCACACCCGAGACTGAGCCCACACTCCCCATACCTTCCCTAAACATCCAAAATATTTCCTTTTCAAAATAAAGTTTTTCCTACTCTTATTTTAGCCCTGGCCGAAAATAAGAGTGTGTAAACCAAAGCCTTTTTGTTTGTTGTTATTTTCCTTCTTTTAAGCCTTTTAATAAAACCCTCTCTTCCTTCCTTTCATTCCCTGCCCAAATAAACCTCACAATCCCAACACAACACCCACAAAGAGCCAAAACCATGACCCACCTCCAGCCCCTAATTCCTGCCCATATTCCCTCACAAATAACCCAAACCCATAAGTCCAAAACCACCCATTATAGCCCCCATCCCTGCCCCCTTTTCTCAGCAAACACAACCCCTCATTTTACCCAAATAATAGCCTTAANTGATTCAATGGGTATTATCCTATGTTTTTGAAATAGTTGCTTCCAGGAAGTTTCCTCATGTTTTGTACTATGTATTTCCCCCTTCCCCTCTCCCTATATAATCAGGCCCTATGGCCATTGTAAACATAACCTTTGAATATTAAAATCTTTTACTCTTTGAGTATTATTAAAATAGTGTGATGCTATTTTAGCCAAATTCCTAATTCTATATCTTAAGAGTGGTTATCTTAAGTGTGAGTTTTAGGTTCTAGATATTTGATTAAGTGTGTCATATCTTAATTAAATTCTAGATTCAAACCCCAAGTTAAGATAAGGGTGTGTAATATCTCTTAACACCAACTTGGTTTTATCCATCATTATTTTCTATCCATTTCTTTCCCCACCATTTCTATCCTTAATCCCCTTTTCTTTCCTCATATTAAAAATACCAAAAGAACTCCTTTATCATCTCCATATCTTTCCAAGCCATTTCCCCACAAAACACACTTCTTCCTGCCCAGAATTTTGCCCAATAATCGATTATCTTGATTGACAATCGATTATCCGTCGTCGTTAAAAAAACCTGCAGCCTTCAACAATCGATTGTCCCCTTTGACAATCGATTATCCGTACTACTTTGAAACATCTGCAGCCTGAAACAATCGATTATCATAATACTGATAATCGACTATCAATCCCTCCCGAAAATCCAAAAAACTGAACCAGAAAATAATTGATTATCTTACTTAGACAATCGATTATCAACCCATCCTGCAAAAGAAGGAGCTTGTTCCTTAAATCCGAGCTTAATACCGACAAACCCTGAGCTGAGATATAACAATAGCCTATTTCATCGTGTCAACTAAATTGGAGAAAAAAACAAAAAAACCCAATGCATTACAGCCCCCTTCGGGTCAAGGGTGTCCGTATGTACTCCATTGTTACATTTACAGCCCAAAACACATTCAACCACTCCATCCAAATTTAATCTCATCAAACATGTTCTTAACACCACTAATTGCAACAATCAAGCTAACCTAAGTTACAAGTAAAAGAGATGTTTTAAAGGTCTCGTAAACAAACTTCTATGAAGAAATTGCAATGTTTGTAGGTACACCATATGTTTCAAATGGTATATTTCATATATTTGAGAAAGGTCAATCTGAAATCAAAATCAATTAAACAAATAATCTTCTCTTTAAAACGGTAAAACAAACATTTGGTCACGAAAGGAGAAAAAGGTCTTTGGCCACAATATGGTTAT